ATGTTGATGCGTTGCGCACGTGTGTCCGCGTTCACTCCAACACGCAACCTCAACTGCGAAAGAAGTTCAAGTCGTGGTCCACTACCAGATGACCGGACGTTACGGATTATACCGTTATTTCTCGTCTTCGCGTGGACTCCTCTGTACAAGGAGGGCCATGGACACTGCAGTGGATGCTCGGCGTTTTCACGGCTCGCTAGGCATTCACGTTGGCGAGTCGTAGACACACATAGGGTTTACAGAAGTGCCGCATCTATCCTTCATTGGGATTCTGTTCACCGGTTCTTGCTACTGCAACCACTGAGATGCTATTCTATGGAATGTCAACCCACCACAACATCGAGGTAGCTCACAGTAACAACTAATCCACGTGGCTCTGTCGTTGGTGAGGTCATCATATGGGCAGTTATATTCCTTGGTTTAACCGCTAGATACCTCATATGGGAGGTCGAGCGGTGGTGTACTCTTGCTGTCGGGTTGGTGTGTGGCCTCCTCACGTTGAGAGGACGAACTGTGCATGCAACGAACCTTGCATGAACTGCGGCGTCGTAAACGAGTGCTTCACTGGCAATAAACTGTATCGGTCGGACATTCTTTTGGGTCGGGTGAATGACACGAGAACAGAAGTTAGCCATCGCATCCTCACAAAAACAGCTAAGGTGACACCCTTGGGCTGAGGGCATTGACTCTCCATAAGAGCTCAACGAGCAGCAGTCAGTAGCATTGGTACCATTGCACTGCTAGTGGCATGTTTTCACTGAACGGAGTTCGATCCATAGGAAAGTTGTGTTTGCCTTCATTCACTGTATCGGTATGGGGTAATTCCCATATCAAGTAGATGATAGGGAGACGATTGATTTCCGTGTGGCCATAATATTTCATACCGTACCTCCTTGAGCGTCTTAGAGATTGTCTCTCTTTGATAAGTGTGATCTGCCTGATACTCCTCGTGAACTGGGGGTAGGTCGCAACCTTTAGGGCGTGGAAGTGTTAGTTGTTGTGTCCCGTTTGTCTCCTTTGTGTTAATCGGAGGTGCATTTGAGTAGGATTTCTTCCAGTCGTGGATATTGCTCTGTCGGGAGGTCTATGTGTATCATCTGGGCATGCGAAGTCTGGTTCATTCATCAGTTTGTTTTTTCTGTGAGATGGGAGCTTGTGAATCATGTTTTGAAACATCTAGGTCTGCTGTTCCTCCACCAGTAGCAGCTGCACCGCCGGTACAAGTTGTGTACACCATTCATGATCAGGAGCCGTACCAGAAACAGTGGTGTACCAAGACACTCTGGATTTGCCCACTGTGACATGGCCAACCAGCCTTATACTGTGACTACCGTGACTACTGAGACTACTGTATGTCC